TTTAAAGGCAATCATTGAATAAGTTTTCATGGATTAAGGTTTCTGGTGGGTGGGGGATGCCCCTCCCACATCTGACTTTGTGTATAAAAGACCTGTCATAATTCCCAATAACTCACATCACTTCTGCACTAGACCAGAGTCCAGTCTCTTTCTTTCTCTCTCTCTCTCTTTCTCTCTTCTTCCCCTCAATCGCCGACACCGTCTCCATCTTTGGGGTACCCTGAACCCGGATGGAGCTGGTCTCCAGCATTATAGTTTTAGCTAATATATTTAGGTCTATGATCCATTTTGAATTAATTTTTGTGCATGTTATGTTTTAAGGAAGGGGTCCAATTTGATTCTTTTGCATGTATCTATCCAGTTGTCCCCATACTCATTAAAATATTTTTCTTCTCCCATTGAATTATCTTGGCACCTTTTTGAAAATCAACTGACCAAAAAGTTAAGGTTTGTTTCTAGATTCTCAGTCCTATTTCATTGTTCTATATTCTATCTTTATGCTGGTACACACTGCCTTAATCACTGTAGCTTTGTAGCAAGTATTGAAATGGGGAAGTGTGAGTTATCCAACTTTGACAATCTTTTTCAAGATTGTTCTCTAGACTGTTCTGGGTCCTCATGTTTCCACATGCATTGCAGGATCACCTCAGAGATTTTTGCAAAAAAGTCAGCTGGAATTTTGATACAAAATTGCATTGAATATATAGATCAATTTGGAGAGAACTGCCATGTTAATGATACATCTTCTGATCCATGAACAGGGGATGTTTTTCCTTTTAAGTCTACTTTAATTTTTTTAAACAATGTTTTATAGCTTTGATTACATAAGTTCTATATTTCTTTCATTAAATTTATTTCTAAGTTTTTCTGATGCTATTGTTTTAATTTATTCTTGGATCATTCATTGATAGTGTATAGAAATATAGTTAATTGTTGTATATTGACTTTTGTATCCCACAAACTTGCTGAACTCATTTATTATTTCTAATAGTTTTTTTTTTAGTGGATTCCTTAGGATTTTCATTTACAAGATCATGTTCTCTGCATGGATTTACTTCTTCCTTTCTGATCTGAATATCCTTCATTTCTTTTTCTTGCCTAATTGCCCTGGGTAGAACTTCTAATATGATGTTGATCAGAAGTGGCAAGAGTAAACATCTTTACCTCGTTCCAGTTCTTAGGGGGAAAATATCTATCATAATGTCCTTTGTTAGGCTGAGGACGTTCCCTTCTAGACTGCTGAGTGCTTTTTATCATGAAAGAGTTAGATTTTTGTCAAATGCTTTGTCTATTAAAATGATCATGTCATTCTTCTTTTTTATTCTATTGATAGTATGTTAATTGATTTTCAGAAGTAAAATCAACCTTGTATTCCTGGGATAAGTCCCACATTGTTATGATGCATGACTCTTTTCATTTGTTGCTGGATTTGGCTTGTTAGTATTTTGTTAAGGATTTATTAAGTTTTTAATTGATTCAATTTTTTCCTGCCCTTTAACAGGGTGTAAAGCACAATGTATGCAGGTATGGTTAGCTAATCATTACATATGAGGATTATCTGAGTGCTAAAGAAAACTATAAGGTCTTGACATGTAGTGATTTCTATTTCCTGAAGCATGTGTTACAGAAGTAGTGTAAAAGGTGTCACTTAACCTAGTGTCACTTAGCCAAAAAATAAGGTTCCAAATGCCCAAATGGGTTTATTCTCTAATTTTGTTCTATCAGGCATTTTAGGGGCAAAATCATATGCTAGAGTTGGATATCTCATAAGAAGTCTGCTCCTCTCTAGGTCCAGTTTTAGCACAGAAGAGTATTAAAATATACCAAAAAAACACCTGTCCAGAGTCAAGAATAATTTTTAAAAATTAAAACATGTTGGAGTCTCTCAAGGAACATCAAATGGGACCCAATTAAAAGCCCCAGAAGAACTTCTTAAAATCTTTTTTTCCCATTCTTTTCCCTCTCAATCTATCACGTGGAGTCACATTTCATGGTTTTTTTCTTGTCCTCTTTCCCCCCATTCCCTTTCTTCTTGCATCCATTCATTTTGCCTTTTAGTAGAGAAGTTGCACATTTGTGGTCCATAGGCCAAATATGGCTTATGTGTGCCTTTAATTTAATGCAATAGTTTATGAACAAATTTAATTAGCTGTCGACATTTGTAAGTTGGCAATTGGCATGTAAAAATCTGTATCTGATTTCTCTTTAAAAATCTGAGGGTTTGGCAAAATGTTGCCTTTATTTTACAACTGGCTGGCAGTGAATAGTTACTGCTTCTTCAAAGATGACACATCACTCTAGTTTGCCACAGTTTTTAGCCATTCTCTATTGTTTGCTTATAGCTAATTTTACTATTTATGATGTAAACCTGGCCTCTGAATATTTTGTGCCTTTTTTTTTTTTTTTTTGAGTTGGAGTCTCACTCTGTTGCCCAGACTGGAGTGCAG